CCTAATTTCAACCATGCAAAGAAGGGTGAGCAGCTGTCATGGGCATTCTGCAGCCATGGACGTTAGTCTAGGGCACAAGTGCATTGGAGAAGGAAACTGGAGTTTTGAGTGACTTTAGTCTTTATAGTTTTGTTTCTGTTTGGGGGATTGTCTTGTTTTTGTTTTTGTTGTTTTTTGCTCCTCACTCTTAGCTGAGCACTGTTCTGGTGTGACTCCATCCTCCACCGAGGGAAAGTCCTTATTCCTAAAGGAGTAAGGACCATTCTGAGATCCAGAATTAACAGTAACTCTGTAAAGGATGTTCATGTTATTCACACGTGGCTCTCTGCTCCCCTCACACTTAGTTTAATGACAAGTATTTTGGAAATTTTTATAAAATAGTCAATCCTCTCATCCAAACCAATACTGAAACCTTTCAGGTCCCTTCCCCTTTGTATTTTTAAGATTATGTGTTTTCTGATAAAAAATTTTAAAAGTCAAATGTAACAAAACCCAAGAACCTTCCCTTTTGTCTTCAGATACTGCTGGTGGCTTACACTACACTGGTAAGAACTGCACTCAAGTTTTACCTGAGGCTGTGCTTATTCTGTGTTACCCTCCTGTTTTATTTAGACAATGAATGTACTTGGGAAAGACTATGTCGAATTCCATGTTTGAAATGCTCCTCGCATACTGTTGGCACACAATGTAATTATTCAAAATGGAATCATTTAATTAGATAGGAAGAGAAATAGCAAGCCTGGGGACCATAATAAAGAATGGAGCAAATATGCTGACCAACTGAAGCAAAACAACGAATAGATAAGACAGCCACTCACAAGCTAGCTATATTTCAGTTCTTCAGTTAGCACACAGGTAACAGGATAACCACGTGGCTATACACTTTGCTTTTTCTGGATTCAAAAAAAGCACAGATATCACATACTGGTAACTCTGTGAGGTGGTGTGAATTGTAGTGCCTCACGCCCCATGTGACTGAGCTTCTTGCAAAAACCTCAGGAGGAGGAGGAACAAAGTGGATCCAGGGGATGACGGCAGGGAGTCACAGAGATACCACAGGTCACAGGGCTTGACCTGGAATCATGCATGCATAGGGTGCCTATGGGTGCTGACACCAACCAGATCTACACGGTGGGCAGCTGGAGATCAGGACAGTGGAGTCAGTTACTCAACCTGTGAAAACATGATGTCAAAGGTAACAGGCACAGAAATATCTCAAAGAACTCTGCAGCAGGAAATACCCCTCGGCATCTGAACACTGGTGCACCCGTATCTCCAAGACAGCAAGACTTCAGGGTACATTTTAGGTCATGAGAGGTCTCAGTGTTAGCTCTTCCTCTAGCTGAGTTTCAGAGTAGACTGGTCCTTCCTTACCTGCTAATCTTCACTCCCTGCCCCACCAGCCCCCAGTCACTGAGGTACAAAAATTTACTAAAGGATTAATTACAAGACAGAGCCCAGTACAGGCTACTAGGTGGGTGCTCAAGAAATAAAACCTCATGCTCTATTAATACCCAGTCCAAACAGTCCAATAAAAATTCCTAAATAAATTCATATCTTGACATTGCCATCATTTGGATACAAAATTATAAACATTTTATAATGAAGTTTTTTCACTGATTATAAAGGGCTGAACAATTTAATAATCTTTAAAGTGGGAAGAAATCAAATTTAAAAACACCCTATCAATTAAAAGCTGTCTTCCCAAAGCAAGCGTTGAGGGAAAAGTAACCAGCTTCACGCCTTTTCCTAGGCTTGCAAGTTTCCTCAGGGCTCAAGTTTGAGAAGGTAAAAGATTATTAGAAAACGATCCATTTGACCTGCTGTCCTCTCTTGACTGTGTTGCCTGGGTTGACTTTCTACTTTCAGCTAGGCCGAAGTTCCTGGATAGAAGCTTCCCTGCACTGAAGCTGATTCTCTGGTGTGCATTAGCTACCTTGGATTTGAAATGGTCACCATAGTACGCTGAGTTCAGCTGTCCAAAAGTCCATTCTTTCTTTCTTTTTTTTTTCCCCAAAAGCCCCATTCTTGCGCTAGTCTTTTCACATACTCCAGTCCATTTTACAGGACTGGTGTCATCAGCAGCAGCCACAAGTAACTGCCAGGTGTTGACTACACGCACAGAATAAAGCCTGCGTGCACCACAGAACAGCACAGTTCGGTGGGACTAAATTGGAGAGGGAGGCTCCATGTGACACCTGGCTAGGTAGTTTTCTACCTGGGACCTTTGGACTAATAACCTTCCCTCAGTTTCTTAAGCAGGAAAGTAAGAATAAGTAGCTGATAGGGTTATTATGGACATCAAATGAAAAGCATGACAAATCTTAAACGTTCAGTACATGTCAGCTGTTGCTATCACTGGTTAAACTGTTCCGTCAGGCTTGCCATGGTAGTTGGGGCACCAGTTTTCTCCGAGGATTACCCTGGGGCTGGGAGGGGAGGCAGCGTATGGGAATGTGCTGAGCTGTGGGAACTTTGTCCTCCTCGAAGGTTGTCGTCTCTGGCATACATTGGTGTCATTAATTTTCTCCTTTGAGAGTACCTGTGTGACACTTTCCTCAAATGAGAGGTAAATTGCTGTTCAAGCTTCATCTAGCACCTGTTTTTAACTCTAACAGGAGTGATGCTTTTATATTGTAAAGTTGAGGCCAATAAAGAGAAAACACACAAGCCAAGTGCTGCACTATATTGCTTCTCTGAGTAACAGGTAATAAAAAGGAAATCCATGAAAATGGAGGGGAGGGAGACACTGTCCAAGTTCCACCAGTAAGCACAGCACTTAAGAGGTGGGCCCTGGGAGTGATTTCCATTGTCACACCTTTGCACATATTCACAAGTGTTCTGGTACATTCCCCTCCCCGTCCTTTTCTAAATGTAACAGATGAAATTAATCAGGGCTACGAGGAAGGCCACTTTGTGCATATGTGATTCCTTTCATCTTAGGGACAAAAAGCACGCCACATAATCATACAACTTTAACGATACAGGAAGGAAAGCCTGGAAGAAAAGGACAAAAATAGAATTATAATTGGTTTGGGCAACAATTACAAAATTTCCTACTTTCAGAAATTTCCTTTTGATCTACCCACGGAGCTGGCAAGAATGCTTCCAAGATAGAAGACAGGAGCAGAGGCTCTGCTGACAGTTCCCAAGGCATGTTCTGGAAAGTGAAACGAGGTGCCCTGCCCCAAGCTGTCTCGGTCACCTGTGCCTCTTCTTTTCTTTCTTGGTACCAGGGATCGAACTCAAGACTGCGCACTTGCAAGGCAGGTGCTTATGCCGCTGAGCTAAATCCCCAGCCCTGGTGCCTCTTCTTTGCAAGAGTCACAAAGCTGAACACAGGGAAGGGGAAATGTCTAAAGACTCTGTCACACCTCAGCTTTCTAATTACACACTCTCTCCTTCCTGTTATTAAGAAACTCAGCCCACTTGTTGATGGTGTTATAGGAACTCGCTTCTAAAGACTCAGTAAAAGGGACTTTTTTTAACTAAGAATATTCTTAGGAAGGAGGTGTACTAACTGTATAGAGACATTTTCTCTACCATGTATAGAGGTCAAGCTCGCTTTCTCTGAAGTCTCAGATCTTACCACACTAGCTAACCAACATTTACTGGACGCACAGCCTATGTTTTATACCATGCTAGCACTAAATGAGTTCTGTCTAACAAGAATAGAATGTACTAGTAAAAACAACAGAAAGCTCCTCAAACAGACCATTAATGCCATTCTGTGTTACTGTGATCATATAATCTTAAAAGTATTCATCTCATCATGGCAAAATGCTATGCTATTAGGGATTCTGACAGAATTCCTAAAGAACACAGTAGTAAGGTGGTGGGTATGTAAAAATGGGTTAAAGTTGAGACAATCCCAAAATACCTTGTTTCCAACCCAGGATACAAACTTTTATGCATTTGAATATAAATGAAATTTGTGGAATGATAGTTGAATACCATATGATTTCTCTGTATTTTTGAATATTTAGGATTTTACTGACAGATTAGGCCATGTTTAACCATATTATATATATATTCAGTCTGAGGGGAGCTGCATTTTCTTGACCATATTTTGATTTCTCATACCTTCCTTCCTGTGTTTTTAAAAAATATTCTTACTATACTGACCTCAATAAAAATGACACCTACACAACTGATTTATAATTCCCTTCAACAGCTGAAATATAACTGACTTATATGACATTTGGAAGGGCTTTATTTGACTTAGAAATCTCACACAATACCTCAATCAGTCTTGCTGATGAGGTTCAAGCTTTTAAAATACACCCATATTAATGTAAACTTTCTTCTAGTTAAAAAGTTACAACCTAAATCTATAATATTAAACTTAGTCTTTTTTATATGATGTCAGACAGTATCAGTCTATGAAGTGAGTAGCAAAAGATTAGAGAATTATAGGAAAAGCAGAAATCAACAGAACTATGAGAAAGTGTTGACTGAAAATATTTTACAAATAATTGAATGAAAGTAATACTTACTGTGAAAAGTTATATTCAAAGTGTTTGTACACTGATGGCAAAGATGAAAACAAAACAAAATATACATTTCACCTACAGATGGTTGAAAAGTGATTTTTCTATGACCCTATAATATTTTATGTAATTATTTGTAATTAAATTATGGTAAAAATAACCAGCTTAAAAATGTCTTCAGGACAATTGCTGGACTAAATAACATTCTTTTTCATAAAAGAAAGTGTCATGTGCAGCAAAGTGGCAAAAACAGAACAGAGTGATCTGTGGTTAAATGTGAATCCTACAGCAATGGAAGTCATTTGTATTATCTTTACTTCTTTGAATACATTCAGATGACAGCCCTATTTCATTTCTTCATTCAGTTTGGAGGCCAGATGGCATTAGAATCATTTACTTCACCTTGTTGTGCTTAATTACTACAATCAACACACTATTTTCCAAATTAATCATAACAAAGTAATTTCATTAGTAACACAGCAGGCTGTTGAATTATTAGCATCATAACAGTTTGCAAACAATTAAACTTTATTTGAACCTTAAAAATTTGCAGAGTGGAACATTATTGTAAGATCTAATGGCAATAGAGTACAAATTTGGTACAGAGCAAATAATCAAGCAAAATGCTATATAAAATATGACTTACAATCACCTTTGAAAAAATTAGCTCTCTAACTGTTCATAGAAAAACAAATAAAAGCTCTAAGCAAACTTAATGAGAACATAACAATTAGCATATTTTCTAACAAGCCATGTTGTTTAAATTCACATTAATGGTATTATTATGATCTTGAAGAGTATGTAATATATTGTCAAGGGTGTAAAGAAAACTTTCTCCCTGGTATTATACAAATGATTTCATCAAGTGAATATAAAGTAGTCATGAATAGAAAGCCATTATTTTTTCTGTCACTGAAATTTTAAATCTTTGTTCCCTTTCATGTATCTTCCACCAATACTCAAGTTTAAAAAGAACAAAGGCCAGAGGCACTCTGGACAAAAGTAACACTGTATTTCTGTACTGTCACCATCCAGAGAGAGACTATCTGGCTTGGTAGTACTGGTCATCAGTTGGCAAAGGACTCCCTCTCCTGGATTAGCTGTAAAGAAAGCAGAAATCTCCCGCACTCTCGTCACTCGGGGCAAGCTGGGGTGGGGGAGGGGTGCCAGGGATGCTGTGTGCAATGACGAGCTGCTGCCATCTACTGGCCTGGGACTGAAAACCTCACTTAAACTGGAGGCACAAAATCTGTATGCACAAGCGAGGCAGCAACGCCAAATGACAATTGCTTTTGCTTCTCAGCCACCTCGCTTTGATTTGCATTTTTTTTTTTTGTCTTTTTCCTTTTTTTTTATCGGTACCAGGGATCGAACTCACGACTGCCTGCTTGCAAGGCAAGCGCTTATGCCGCTGAGCTAAATCCCCAGCCCCGCCACCTCACTTTGAAAAACAGACCATGAAGATCTTCTCTGGCTACCTGACTTTTGCCAATATGGTTTCCATTTCAATGGCAACGTATCAGGAAAGGGTATCAACTGTACACATGTCATTTCTGAAGCCCTTAACTTCATGGGTCAATACATACAAACTTGAGATTACTCATAATTCCTAAAATGAGGCTTGCTTCCTTTACATTTGAAACTAAATTATCGTGGCATTTAAGGAATAACTGTAAAATAAACAACCTAATACTGCCTGTAAATGGTTTGCAACTTATTTGTATGGTTAGAATCTTTAATTTGATAAAGCAAATAGTGAAAAGTTCAACAAAGCTAATACTTGCTAAGTAATGATCAGGATTAGTAGATTTTGTCTATTACTAATAACAAGTCAGTATTAGATTCTGACATTTATTAAGGCAATACGAGTGGTTTGTAGGCATTTAAAATGCTTGTGACTTCAACACCCAGCAAGAGGTGATGATAGGATTCTTCAGATCTTACTCAAGCAGCACTGAATCGAACTCAGCTGCCAGGTCACTGCTACCTTCTTGTTTTCACCTGCTGGTACATGTTCCTGCTGTGATTTCTACCCTTTCCTCTCTAAGCCTTTGTTTTGAGTGCTCTGAGAAATGCAAGGGAGATTCCTATCTCAAGTTCTGCGGTTACAGTGGGACTTTAATAACAATAATTGTAAGAGTGCTTATTTATACCTTCTTTTCTTGAGACTATTTTGAGATTCTTTACAACATTCTGTAATGGTAGGAGAGGATTTCTCTTGAATCTTTCATTTTGTTAAGTTTAAATAGAACCATGGTAAGAAAGCATTGACAAATCTATCATCTAACCAAAATATCTGTTTCAGTAAAATGCTGTGCACAAAAATGGTTGTTTGCACTCATACTTCAAGTGACAGCACACTGCCGCTTGTAATTCTTTTTTCTTTCTTGTGGTTACATTTAACAGGAAATAAGTTTTCCAATTTGTAAAAGTTCTTTCTTGAATCACTCACATTGCTACCATGAGAAAAATACTAAAGTAAATGATCTATCAAGCTTTATTATAAACATATTCTCTAGCTCCTACCAAAAACTTCCATGACAATTTCAATTAAAATTTTATGGAATTATATGTCACATCTAAAAATTACTGATGTCCAACAGTTAAGTGAAATTACAGTTTGCACTAGAAGTAGCAATGATTACGTGGCCATATAAAATAGTAATGAATTCTTCAGACAATCAAACGGGTAAATAAAAACTGTGATAGTTTCTTTGCAAAACAGCAACAGGTAGAACTTTACTGCTTGCATCTAATTTATATTAATATCCTCATTTAATTTCACATCAGAGCACTATTTTAATGAATGACTATATAAAGTAATAGTCGAAGACATTCAACAAAACAAAGAAAGGTTATAAGCTGTCACTCAGGTTTCACGAGGCTTCTAAATCAAAAGCATTTGCAGTCAATCAAAGGACTCTTCTATTTCTGCAGGCAGAAAAGGAAAGTTTAGTTTTAATATTTTTCTTCATTAGAAATGTTGATTTTTCCAGCTTAGAAAAATTTCACGTTTTTTCAAGGAAAAATTAATGTTTTCTCAACATTTTATCAACGTGACTCCTCAGAAAGACCATAAAAGTGTTTTATTAAAGAGGAGGAAATTTGGGGGAAACAGCTGGTTATTATCAAAGGAACTTTCTCCAAAAAGCTATTCATTTCCAAAGTTAATTCTACGAAGATATTTTTAAAATTAAAAATTAAATAAAACAAAAACATGTGGGGTACCATCTTTGTGTTATCAGAAAACTATAAAGATTTAAAAGGACAAAGACTCATAAGAAAGAGATCAAGAGAATATATGAGCTATAACAAGAGTATTGGATTAAAATGTACTTACCCAGTACTCTCAAATATCATACATCTCCATTATGTAGGCTTTAGGCACCAAGCCAATGGCTCCCTTCATTTCTCCTACCCACCAGCCATATCTATTGTATTCCTAATTGAAAACAATATACAATATTAACCTTTAGATTGGTGTAAGTACAATATGGTTTGTATGCAACTTCTTAGAAATGTTATTTCTTTTTATAAAGTTACAAGAGCTTGAGCTGCAAATGGAAACACTGTCATCTTTTTTGTTTCTAGACACTTTAAAAATGCTGTTAGGCAAAGATTTAAATTAATGTACAACACAGAGCCTGTTTATTACTCTATAGAATACAGAGGCACTCACTCACGGTAAGTATCTGCAAAATGAAACTGCTTCAGGAAACCAGTTCTCTAGAGAAAATCTCTCTCTCTCTCTCTCTGTCTCTGTCTCTCTCTCTCTCTCTCTGCCCCCCCACCATGTCTCTATCTCATCTCCCCCCAAGCGTAGGTATATCTTTTATGTATAAGCACCAGTGCAAGAATCTATAAAGTCAGGATCCCAAAGGTATATTTGCCTTCAAGAAGCTTATTATCTAACAAGAATAATATTTTTTGCAGCAAACTACTTAATTCCTATTTAAAATTATATGACCTAAAATGATTTAGAATGTACAGCCCTAAGTAAATTTTATACATTTTAAACAGACAAATTAGACAGTAAGGAAATACTATAATATAAAACAATTTGTTTTTCAGAACTATACACAAATAGATTCCTTTAGAATAACATGCCTAAGGCATTTATTATTCCTTTTATTGATCATAAACCATATTACATAAAGAATAGGTGGAAAGAATTCAAGCTGGTATTAGATTTACCTTTATAGTGGAAGATCAATAGGAAATAAAAGTATCTTAAGTTTTAAAGGCAAAATATTAATCTAGCTGTAAAAAAAATGTGATTGATGAGGCACTTCTACATTTACTTTGCAACACGAGATAAACAAACCCGTGCCTCCTCTTCTTCCCTTTATCCCCATTGACAGACATACCACTGCTTTAGGCATAACAAACACTTCATAACCAGCCTCGTATTCTGCCAGGTTGACTAATGTATTTTTATCTCAAATTTATTTATGTTTGGTGAGATACAAACAAAGTAAAATGAATCACAAGTTTCAAGAATAATATCTTCCAAAAGCAATACTCTGCACGAGCACTGTAGGTCCAAAATTTAATTTTTCATAGAAGATGAATTTTTAAAATCAATCCCCAAAGTAATTCAATATGTTATGATTTTCCAACATCTGAGTCATAGATAAATGTGCATATGCATGTTGAGTTACGTATGGGGAGGGAAGGTTAGTACCAGTACAGACTGAACATTTGTATTGATTAGTATGCTACTGACCATCAGAAAGGAAAATTATGCAACTCTTTAATACGGTGTGGCAACAATAGCATGAATGTATTGATACACAGTCTACTAATAGAGGGATTATAGGAGAAAATCTATAGGTACTTTTTAAAAGAGTGGGCAGTGTTAGAATTAGGTTTATCAGAAGAACAAAGTGGAGGGGAAAAGAGGAAAACCATCCCTGTACTTCTTATTCTAAGGGAGGCACAGCTCTGGCTTGTGAGACAGCAGACTCAAGCCAGTAGGGTGCGAAGTTCACTGATAATATTAACTAAAGGGACAAAACTGTCTAAGCAACAAGGATGCTCTGCATCCAGAATTTATTGATGACGAGTGTAATCCATATGGAATACACTTATCAGAAAATACTAACTTACTGAAAGCTATGCTTAGCAGCCATTACATACTAATAGGTACCTAATAAAACTTCCCTTTTCAATTTTAAGGTAATGAATATAATTAGAGCCTAAAGCTTAGCAAAACAAAAGTACTTAACCTTCTGTAGACCAAAGGTTCATACTGTAAGTTGATAAAATAGATAATTAATAGGGTAAGTATGACTGTGAAAGCTCTTACCCAATGCCAGTCTTAGATTTTTCAAACTGATTATTTGGAAAGAGTAAAGGAACTAGCCTTCTAATTATAGATACAGAGAATACTTAGTGAGAAGACATACCATTCAAACCTGTTCCAGAGAATGGCCCTCGATACTGGTGACAATGTTTACATCCAAAACATTCAGAAAGTTCATATGACTTTATAATATTCTACTAAGTTAATAACCTGTACTGTCAACTAAGGATACAATATTCTCAAGTTCTCACATTCAAATTTAGGAACTGACTGCCAACAAATCACACTGACAAAGGACAGATGACAGAGAGAGAAATGAGAGAATTCACACTTAAGAGAATTCTGGACTCTGATAGATCAGTAAGCTTCACTAAATAGAAGGCACAGTAGGAAACAGCACAGAGTTTATTCAGTGGCACACAAATCCCTTAAAAGTAACGTTCAAGGAGAAAAAATGTTACATTAATATCTTAAATGCTTTATTTAAAACAATCAAAATTGTATAAAATATGAACCTCATGAAAGTATTCTAAGATATCACAGATCTAAATCAGAGAAGGTAAAAATAAAAACCAGAATATTTATTACTTTACATTTGTAAAAAAGTCCATATAATACTCCTGTGTGAAATTAAGAAATATGATAAAATACGGGGAAGTAAAAATCTAGGAGGCAAATTTATGGATTTATTCTGCAGCCATTAGAGTATTTCGACAGGACTGCAAACACAGGAGCTTTCCTTTTATCATTACCATCCTCTGGATGAGCCTCCTGAGCAACATGAATCCCAATTAAACCATTTGCAGCCTATAAATTGGAATGAAAATGCTTCTTGGAGTACCGTATTCTAAACTTCAGCCTGAAGATTCAACATCACACGAGGGTTCCTTCTGAAGAAGAAAATCAGCCTGTACTTGCCTTTCCTCCTTGCTGCCCCCAAACAAATGTGCTTATGAAAGATGTATTATTTAAGGTAGAAAATAATGTAATTGATACAATCTTTCTTACAGTTCACACGTTTTGTTCTATAAAGTCACAGGTGGATATGAATGAATGAATGAATGAATGAATCTCTCAAGTCTTATCATATTAATAAGCAAATTAAAAAGGAACAAATCATACCAGGCTGCCATCTAAATCTTTGACAGGCTAAGGAGCATCATGTAATCTTTACGGCACCCGAGATCTCAGGTACAAGAAGGTCTGACATCTGGTATCCCTCACCCTATTCAGCTCTTAACATCAACTGAAATGCTAACATAGGCAAGTGACTGTACTTCCGGAGAACTGATAAAATAATGAAGAGTCCTTTAATCTACAGGAAACCATTCTAGTCAATTTATAAGAAATATTGCATCCCTTTGTAGGACGTGTAATTATTTTCTATTAATCATGTGCTATAAAGCTACATTATGCGGTTATTCTGTTATCACTAGAAAGAGGCCTGCAGTCAGCTTCTGACAATGTTAGGTAATTACTAACACAAAGCTGCTTTCTCCTCCTGCAGTAATGCTATCAAGATCCAGAGGTGTAGTGATGCTTATTGTATAAAAATAGCACTCAAAAGAAATTCAATATCTGCAAAATGGATGGCTTCAAGGCAAATGTAATGTGGCAGTCAAGCAAAAGAAGCCAAATTTGCCCAATAATCTGAGAAAATAATAGTAAGGTGGCATTGAATACTTACAATCTAACTCCTGTGTTTTCGATTCTCATGCCATTAAAATCATTTTATATGTTTTACTTGATAGTTAAAATTTTAGGCCCCAATTAATATTTATTGAGCAATAAATTAAAGTGACTGTGTAATAAGGCAGGAGAAAAAGATTAGCTTTTTAGTTTTGATAAAGTGAAACAGATTTTATTCAACACAATAGTAAGCATATCTCCATGTTTACTCATTATAAAGCTTCTCTCTCAGCTGGTGTATTACTTTACACTTAAATAAGGTCCCAATATTTACTTAACTCCTTTTCAACACCATGATTCTAATTTCTCAAGTATACTAATCCTCTTTCTGTAAACCATATGGTGGGAGAAAGCTGCCTTAACTGAAACCTGAAGCATTTCTGAGGTTTTGTGATGTACTAACCCCTCCAGACATTACTTACTGACATATTTGAAAGCAACAGGTGTTTAAAATGGTCAAAGGCTATGCATCCTTTTTCCAAACATTTACCTGCTTCAAAATATACTATCCTTTTGTCAAAGTTCAAGTTATTTCACTCACAAAATATAAAATACAGAAAGTTTACGTACTAGTGGACTTTACTATCATTTTCTAAGTACTGACTGTGAGAACTATTCAGAAACATTGTAGTGTAACAGTACGAAAACTAAGTAAGCTTTTAAACACACAAATATTTTCTTGAAGACTACCTCTTCAGCCTCTTCTTTTGTATTATCTCTACTTGGAAATTTAAAAAAATCATTCCTTTTTCATATTTGCATCACTTCCAAAGGTTCCCTTAATTAAAGTACAACAGAAACTTTGTGACTTAGCTTCCTAACCCATTAAATGAAGAAACTAATATAGTAAGAAAGCACATAGTAAAAATTTTAATTCTCATGTAGCAAATTTTGGGTTACATCCCATAGTCCAGAGACATTTAATTCAAATTCGTACAGTTTACAGTTACAATACTATAGAAAGAAAACTGCTCCTCCCACTGACGGCTTGCAGGAATGTTAGGCCTGGACACATTAAGCTACGCTCAGCAGACTGTAGCCTCAGTGCTCCATGCATCTCACTCTCCAGTGATGGACTCTGACTCCTCTGGACCTTACATCTCACTACTGCAACTGCCACCACTCCATGTCAGGCCTCCATCACCTCAATGGATGACTGCCCTATCATCTCTGTCTGTTTGATCTTCCCAGAAACCGCCTTCACTGGTTTTCCCTGCCACATAAGAACTTTGACTAGCTCTCCACTGCATTCAGTATAAAGTTCTCTGCTTGGCTTGTTGCCACTTTGCTAGAAACATTCTCCTATCACTGTGCTTTGTGCACAGTCCACCCCTTGCATCCTCTTCCCCATTCCTGCCTCTGCTTGTGGTCCTCCTTTCCCCAAGGAAGTCTCCCCATCCCTCAAATCCTGTCAAGGACTAAGCCCTGGCTCATGCCACTTCACTGCT